GATCCACTTGCCCATTCGGTTGATTGATTTGGTTAGCAGGTTCAGTGCCATTTGAGGGGCTGGACCATCTTTGTTCACCAGTACTCTTGGGTATATGGTGGGGGATTCCAGCCTTTCCCATACAATCTGGCTGTCTTGAGTCCTGAGAGGGTGTGTCATCTGCGAGCCACGAACCGAAGTTTTGCCGCAGTTTACCTTCATTTCTGACGCCAATTTGAATGCCTCCATTGCCCTGGCTACAACTCTGATCATAACCATCATATTGTCGGCAGTGGGAGGCAGACATAATTACTGTAGGAAACTTCATGTGGCGCCAAGTGCCTGTTCCAAATTCCAGAAGTATCTGAATAGACGGTTCTTTTCTTTTTTTTGGCTTTTTCTTTAAAAAAAAAAAAAAAAGAGAGACGATGCTCCAATCTATTCGTGGGGAGCAACACGGCTGGGAACCGGGCCCAGCGTCCCTTATCAGAATACAAGGATGAGCTACCGGGGCCATTACCCGGCTTCGGCTAAGAACAATTGAAGAAAAGGAAACTCAGAAACATTCAGAAATTGTGTGTCAACAAGCCTCCCAACCACGAATCAGATAGGTGAAACCTATTCAATCCACCTTCGACCACCACCAGCATGGCCGTTTTCAGCACGAACCGAAGCTCTTCCAGGCCTCATGCCCCCATCAGGCTAGGTTACAGAGTTGCACCACCTTGCTCCAGCACCGGCCAGCATTGCTTCAGTTACGACCCCCGATGACCACTGAGACTGCCCCCGCAAGCAGCCCCCCAGATCTCTCTACCAGGCCTCACGCCCCCACTAAGCTAGGTCACAGAGTTGCGCCACCTGGCTCCGGCTCCGGCCATCGTTGCTCCAGCGTCGGTCTTCAAGGGCCACCGAATTTTCGACCACCCTACGCAGGATCAAAGATGACATGCCAGATATCACCTATTCCCACAACCTCCTCGAGAGGCGAACAAGAAATTACTGGACTGGAAGATTAGAAATCTTCAAAAGAACATCACCCCTCCCTCCCCCTACCCCCTCAGCCCTACACTGCCCCGCCGAGGCGAGCGTCCCGCTCTCCCTCGGCCCCAATATAGGACCAACCCCCGAGGACACGCAGTTCCCTCCTAAAACATGCCCTCGCCGCCCCTTGCCCGTTTCTGCCTCCACTGAGGACGGTGTTGACCCCTCCCACCACCCCTGCCCCAGAAACAGGACAAACCCCCAACTCCGCTTCTACCCTCTTCGAGACATTCACCCCCCTCCTTGTGAATCCCCTGCAGGATAGCGCTCCCTATCCACCCCACTCTCCCACTTCTACCCTTCTAAAATAATCGATCCAGCCCAGGAATAAACTCGGAATTTTCTTCTGAAAAGGACCCGTTGAAAAGGGCGCAGGGCAGCAGTAAAGATTATTACAATTATTCCCCTTCCCCGTGCGCCCAATGAACAGGTGACTACTACCACCAATTTAGATAGCAGAAAGTAATTATCGGAAAAACTATCAGGATTTAAGCTATGATAGTAAAATTCAAAAAAAACTGAGGATTTATTAAAGAGTATAGTCAAGGAACAAAATTACGTAATTATCGTGATGATTCCTACAAATATGCCAATGATTCAGAACAGATGATGTTAAAAATAATAATAATAATAATAATAATGGGTCTTTTCTTAGGAATGGGCTATGGCTTCCATAACGAACAGGAAGATTGGAGCAATAGAGTGTCTCCTGGCCCCATGGATTGCAGTTCTTTTTTTGTCTAGTTAGAAGAAAGAACAACAAAGTCAGGATGGCTGTTCCTATTTCCCCAAGGCATCAGAAGGGTACATACATATGGATGCCGGCTTGTCTGTTTTGTTTTCACGCCCTTCGAAAGACTTTGTCCTTCCATGGAGATCCTCAGAAAACCTTGGGCCTCCAAAATTGGGGCCCCATACCCCATGGAGCACCATGGAGCCCCAAGTTTGAGACCTGGCCCTGTCAGAGGCACCAGTTTGTTTGACCAAACCCCATCTCTGACAATCTTCTAGTAATCAGGAGCACAGGTGGCTCATGGAAACTGGATTGGATCACATCATCTCCCACACAGACAGATTTCTGGACAATTACATACAAGCAGATTACTGCACATGCAAAGTTACAAACATACTTATATAATGCACTTGTGGTCGGCAAAACAACTTCATTCATGTTTCTCTTCATGCCCTTTTTCTGTAAACACTAAATACTAAATAATGCATTGATGGCTTGCAAAACACAGGAACAGGTTCCTCGTTCAATTCCTGTTTTCTGCTTCTTTCTTGTTTCTGCCCCTGTTTCTGTTTCCATTTCTGTTCCCGATCCCGTTCCCGTCCCTGTTCCTGTTCATGCCCTTCCGCAAATAATGCATTGATGTCTTGCAAAACACTGAAAACAGGTTCCGGTTTCCCATTTCTGTTTCTCCTCCTTGTTTTTGTTTCTCTTGGTGTTCCTGTTCCTGTTCCTGTTCCTATTCCTGTTCCTGTTCCTGTTCCTGCTCCTGCTCCTGCTCCTGCTCCTGCTCTTGCTTCTGTTCCTGTTCCTCTTCCTGTTCCTGTTCCTGTTCCTGTTCCTGCCCTTTCTGTAATAATGCATTGATGGCTTGCAAAACACTGAGAACAGGTTTCCTGTTCCTGTTCCCGTTCCAGCTTCTGCCCCTTGTTCCTTCCTTACCACCATTAACCGCCTGATGGACTGTGCATGCACAGTTCCGTGTGGTAGACACATTGACTTTATTGTTACAATCCTGGCCAATTTCGGAGTGCAAAATTCACAAGAAAGCACAATACCGTCCAATTGCAAAAGAAACGAATGAACTTGAGAGGAAAGAGGGGGAAAGAAGAAGAAGACGAAGAAAGAAAGAAGAAGAGGAAGATGTACACCAGCGAAGACCAATGATAATCCCCCTTCCTCCTCTTTTCTCCTCCCCTCTTATTCAAACAAAAAATAATAATGATAATGATAAATGGCAGAACCAGAATTAATGTCCGAATCCCTCTTCTACTGCCAGCACAACTTGAGGTCCACCATATTCCATGGCCGCCCTTCTCCTTCCTCTTCGTCTAGGTCGAGGTTATGGCGGACTTCTAGGGTCTTGCCCTGATGTGCAAAAGACAATGCAAAGCAGCTATGGCCACTTCCACTCAGGCAGCCATTCCTGACTCTGCCTCGAAGCTTCTTGGTGCAGCTCTACCCCAACGGGGCCTTCCAGATGCAGCGCCCACCAAGGTGAGGGAAGATGGCGTCCACCATAGCCAGGTAAGTACCCCTGGCACCCCCTCTCCTAGTCCCTTCTTCCTCCTCCTCCTACCAGAGCTCCTCCACCATAGCCAAGGTGGAGAGCTGGGCGCTCCTCTTCTCCCCAGCACTGGACTCAGCAGCGCTCCAACCAGCGCTCCAGCAGCGTGACATCCAAACTTGCACGCAGCAAATGAGGAAGAGCCCCTGGCTCTCCCTGGAGATATAGCAAGGCAGCAGCCTCCTTAGGCGGTGACTTCCAGGCCACGCGGCCTTCAAGCAACGGTACCTCCTCCCTTTCGGAGCAAAACATCATTGCAGGCTCTGATATCGTCCGCACAGGCCCTAGACTACAGGCTACTTGGACTGGTACCCGCCTAGACCTAGCCTACCGCTACTGGGCCTCTAAAAATGCCAACTTTTGTCTTCTTCTGCTCGGCCTCCAGTCCCCGACACATCTACTACTACTTTAGGTGGTACCAGCCTACCTCCCACTTGAGTGTATTTCCCCGCTGCTCTAAGTGTCGCGGGCCTACTCCCGCTACTTCTCCGCTGCAACCCTCAAAGTCATGGCCACAGGAAAGTACCGGCCCTGCGGGGCCTCCCAAACAAACAAGTGCCCTTGCGGGTCACACACACACACTCAAGCCAACAAGCGCTCAGACAGGCACGCAGACCAGCAAGCACGCACACACACAGACTTAAAAAACTCAGCAGAAAGCGGGAATCTCAGCAAGGCATTCATTCTAGCGGCAAAACTCAGAAAAAAGCTATCTTCTCAGTCTGTGTTTGGGCAGGTCCTTACATCATGGTGTAAGGTGAACCACCGGGGGTGGATTTGATCACATCATCTCACTTAACAACTGACAAAGTTAATATACAAAGTTATGAACAAATTTGTGTAAAACAAGTAGGAGCCAGAACCAGAAGGTTCCGTTTAAAATAATAATAATAATAATAATAATAATAATAATAATAATAATAATAATATAATGATAATAATAATAATAATAAATTAATAATAATAATAATAATAATAATAATAATAATAAACAAGTGGCATCCAAGTAGCTCAAACATTCACCTTGCTTGCTCTGCAAAATGATACATAGGCACCAGACAAGCGTTCCCGATACTTGGAGCTGCAGGCAGAGAACAGACAGCTCACTGGAGAAGTTGCACGGATGGAAGCTCAGCTCGAAGAGCTCAACAGAAACATGCAAGCACTTGAGCAGGTAATAAATGGACTGGGTTTGCAACTTTGCAGTTCTTTCTCTCTCTCTCTCTCTCTCTCTCTCTCTCTCTCTCTCTCTCTCTCTCTCTCTCTCTCTCT